TAAAAAAAAATGCTAACAACCAGTTCTACTTTGTGAAAAAAAATGCTAACAACCAGTTCTACTTTGTGAAAAAAAATGCTAACAACCAGTTCTACTTTGTGAAAAAAAATGCTAACAACCAGTTCTACTTTGTGAAAAAAAATGCTAACAACCAGTCCTACTTTGTGAAAAAAAATGCTAACAACCAGTTCTACTTTGTAAGACATGCTAACAACCAGTCCTGCTTTGTAAAAGACATGCTAACAACCAGTTCTATTTTGCAAAAAAAAAGTGCTAACAACCAGTCCTACTTTGAAAATAAAAGTGCTGTCCTGCTCTGTTTGAAACACTACAACAACTTTCAGTATTACAGTTCTGTTTGCAATTAGCCTGTATACTTGCATAATAAAAATAAAAATCTGTTTTATTCTAATGGTTTCAGTGGTGTATCATCGACTTACAGCCAGCATCTTAATAAAGACTTTGTTGGTAAGAGTATTCAGGAACTCTGTCATCCCAAAGATCGACACAAAGTGAACCAACATTTGAAAGACAGTAAGTTATGTACCTGGTGATGAAACAAAGAGATTAAATCGGTACTACAATAAACATTATGTAGTGTAGATTGTACAGAATTTGATATATAGATGAAGTCCATAAAAACTTAAAATTTGGTATTCTAATAGTGCTGTCATCATTAATTGTTTGTTATTTAAATAAAGATCAGTTTTTTTAGTTGACTGTTAATTTTGTATTGAATTTATTTAGTGGCTTGAGCATCAAGTAGTCATTTCTAATTTCCAATTAAATTAGTAGGATAAACACTTGAAAGTACTCTTCATACATCATTTGGTGACAGGTTAATTTTCAGTGGATTATAAAACTTTTTTTTCTCTATCTCTAGCCCTCCAAACAGGCAGCAACACCAGTGGCATCTATCGTCTACAAATATCACAAGATAAATACATTTACGTTCAAACTAAAAGTAAAAAATTTAGCTACGGTCAAGTGACGAGTGAAGAGGAGTTTATTATGGCTACACATTCGATTATTCGGCAAGTGTAATCAATTGTTTTATTTGGCTAGAATGATTTGAATTTTCAGTACCTGTTATTTTTTATTTTTAGTGCAAGATTATTTATTTGGAAGCCTAAACAGTAAGTGCAGCATTTCAAAGTGACATAACATTACAGGTTTTTATTATAAAAGCCTTAAAATGATGCATATGACCTGAAAATCAATAGGATATTAATGCGAAAAACCAAACCAAAAGACTTTAACCTGTACCTTGTGTCAGATCGCTGAATCTTGAGCAACACTTGACATCTTATTCTTTATATTTGGGGTCACAAGGTGCTTTGAGATTTTGAACTGATTTACAACTATTTCATTTTTGTAGATCTATTTTTTAATCACGAGTTATTAAATTTTTTGTTTTGCTAAACCTTGTTTTACAATTTTAGTAATTGAAATTTTCTTTTGTATTATACTCTCAACTTTTTTTTTACCCCAGTGCTAATATGAGCTGGCCTTGGAAAAAAATTTCTCTGACAGTGACAAACTCCTCCCACGAGTTATATTTTTAAAGATTTTTGAGCAAAGTTCTCGCACTTTTATGGTCTCAGTTATAAATTGTAATAGGTTTCAGCCCTTTATAACAGTTGTATTTTATGTCATTTATAAAATGTTCAGAGTTTTATATGTTAATGATTTTGGCATTTACCTGGTAACTGCTGTACGAGTTTATTGTTTGTTTATGAAATACTGAAAAGTTTTTTTGGGGGAGCATATAACACTCTATCTATAGACATCTACTTTCTGCATGATAACTTAGGAGTTCTAAACAATAGATTTTAATCGGACTTTCACCATTTATAAAGGTAAACTTTGGTTCCTGCACAAAAGAAAACAACAAAAACAAACAGTAAAAAACTAAAAGTAAGAGGAATCAGTAAGTGTACTGATGGCTATTCTTTGAAAGTTTACAAGTAACTTCCTAGCAATTTGTTTACACTATTTTCAGTGGCATGGACAGTTTTGCATGAATTTAAATTTTACAACTTCTTAATAGTTAGCCATCTTATCGTTGTAGATGTCATAGCCACGGAGCTTTGTTGGGTGGAATTTTCTGTATAAACTCCTCCAGCATGTACCCGAAACAAATAAGAAATCATAAGAAGTCATCATACAATAAACTTGTAATTTTTGTACCACTTCTTCAAGGATTGGAAAAAAATAGAAAGTCACATATTTTTTTTTATTTATAAGTGTATGGCAGTTGGACTGGCAAGTTAGCTCTGGTTGCAGTAGCTTCATATTTCTGACATTTAGTTTGTTTGTCTTGAAACATCCACAAGATAAATCAAATTTGAAAATACAGTAACTAGAGGGAAATTTGTAGGAACAGTTTTTTTTTTTTGTTTTTTTTTCAGACCTTCAGGAAGGTAGTATTAGCTTTTAAGGTGCATAACCTGAAATGTATCTGTTTTTCAAACTTAATATTTAAATATGATATACTTTAGTGTACTTAGTCAGTGTATTGTCATGTTTATTATTTCTGAGAAATATTAAAATAAGTTAACTTTTTAACATGTAAAATTGAATTTGAATATCTGAAGTAACTGTAAGAAAGCAATGCTAGTTAAGAACATTGAAAGTTAGAAAAATTTTGCTATTAGAGGAGAAGCATAAAATAAAAATGCATTTTGATGATTCAGATCAGATGTTAAGAGTTGTAGATATCTAACTCTTTCTTAAATCCTCAACTGCTACACATCCTCGGTTCTTGTAGCAGTAATGATGTTACATGTTTTTACTACCTATTGAGTGTCTTTATTTGGATATATTCTTTTACACAAATGGGTAGCCACCTATTGGTGGATTCTTTTTCTCAGATAAAATACATAACGCTTGTAAAGTAACAAGGCAACTATATCTTTAAAATAAAATAATTTCTTATTTTAAAATCTGATGCACCAATTTTGTGGTTCAGTAAAAGCGTCATGTTTGTTGGCTACAAGGTTCCAATACCTTATCAGTGATAAGGTATTGGAAAAGATAAAATACAGAAAATACAGAAAATACTACAATTATTTTAAATACCGGTGTAATCTGTTTTGTATTTTATTTAAAAATGAATAATTTTCACTCAATTTTTTGATCTGTCCTTTACACTGAGTGTTGCAATAGATAAAAACAAAATTATACAATATGTGGACCCCATAATTGGCTAGAACCTTGGTAACAACAATGTGATGTAATGTGTTTTATAGCAAGCTAACTCAAGATGCACAATTGTTTTTAATAAGAGTGTGTGTTGTAAAACTTGTTTTAATATGTGTTTTTCATGTCGATAACCAGTTTTGATTTTTTTTTTCAAACTCGTACTTAATTAAAAAGTGGAGTATTTATGTATAGGGAATAGAAAATACTAGTTTAATGCTATCAATGTTAATTTCTTGTTTAGTTTTTAGAAATATTTTAGTCAAGCAAAGAATCGTTATGTTTTGTAAACTAGTATGGAAAAAAAACAGTGATTATATAGTATATGTTTTTGTTTTGTTTTTCACCCAATTCAACAGAGATAGTGAAACTCCCCAATCTTTAGAAAGCCTTCAAAGGAGTAGTACACCTGCAGTCAGCGGGAATTCACCTTCCACCAGCCTCATTGGTAATTTGAATGAGGAATTGAATGGTGTGAACTCTGCAGAAAATGTCTCGATGAACACATCTACTTCAGTTTATGGTGGGTTTTCAACTTTCAGTCCTTCTTCCCATGACTTTGGATTCAATGATCTAGGGCTGGACATTTTTTCAGGTCCCACTTGGGATTTGATTGTTGGGAACCACCGAGAGGATGGGCTGGCTATCACTGGCACCACCTCTTACACTTCCACTCTCAGCCCACATACTCAAATGTCTACATCACCAAACAGTAACAACAACTCTGGTAGTGTTCACTCTGTTGCTCAGGGTTCCCATTCATCAAATAGTGCCTTTTCTCCTGAACTGACACAAGGTAAGATGTCACCTGCCACATGTTCACCAGCTGCCCAGCTTACTTCAATTCCAAGTCCTACACCATGTGGAAACACTTCATTCAGTGTGTCATTCTCTCTCAGCTCTATACAGTCTTCACCATCTTATGGAAAAGTGGAATCCACAGGAACCACTGCTGACATAAATAACACAAGTCCTCCATCTTTGCAAGAAAACCAGAGCCTTTCCAAAACAGCTCAGAAATTAAGAAACTTGTTAACTAAGACAACTGAAAAAGTAAACTCTTCACATACTATTTCTACTACAGTGTCCAAGGGGTATAGTGTAACTTCAGAAGTTCCAACTAGTAGTAATAGTGGTTTAGTTTTACAGACAACACAGCCAGGTCTTTCAGAAAATGGCAGAGTTATTTCTTCTTCTGATAAGGAAAATATTTTGCATGAATTGTTAAATGAAGAAGATGAAAAAACATCTGCACTACCTGAGGGTGCTTTGAATATTGCTCATAACAAAGAACTATTACAAGAAAATAGTCCGGAAGGTTTGAAAAGTGAACTCAATGGAGAACACCAAATGAAGACTATGAACAATAACACCATGCTACGAAAGGTACGACTTAACCTTTCTCTGGAAGTTAAATGCTTATTTTCCACAAATTATAAAAGAAACTGAATAACACTTCATGTGACTTCTGTAATTTGTGTAATTTTTTTACTTTGGACACAAATTTAAAAAAAAAAAGTTTTCTTTTAGTTCCTGATGATCTGTGTTTGTCATCAAAACAAAAATTGTAGCTAGTGAAGGGTAAAACCAAGTACTTTTACGCACAATTTCCTTGTGAAAATATGTTTTTGTACATGGATTTGATTAAAGATGTATATTGCTAATTATTTTATTTGCCTTTCGTAGTTACTGAATGATGACGACTATGAAAACGGCTACAGAAAGTCTCAAGACGTGCGTCTTCTAAAGTCAAAACTCAAAGATCAGGTAAAGTTTCTTTTGTAAGTGTGGTGTACTTACATACGGATTTTGTGTCTTTTCGTGTAATTTACTGTTTAGATAATTTTATTGTGTCATTTGAAGGAGAAAACAAATTTTTTCAACAGTAAAGAGGAGAATGACACAAGAAACATCTTTATTTTACAGAAATGTAGATGTCTCAGGATACAAATGATTCCATTTTCAGTATCTACAAACAGAAATATAAATACCTCTGTCTTTGAGAATAATTGAAGATGAAATTGGATGAAATTAGGACACAGAGATAGGAAAAATATAAATTACTTTATATAATATAACAATTATATTCAAAAATAACAAAATTGTAATATATATATAAATGGGAGACATATTCTTTGTCAGTAGTTACAAATCACTACTGGCTTTCCTAAGGATGGAGAAGTTGGAAAATATTGACTTGCTGATTTATTTCTTTGCTATATTGATGTATTGTGAAGAGGCAGGGTTTGCTTGGTTCTCGTGTATTCTTACTTTTAGGTGACATTTGGTCTCACCAGCAGAGGGGTCCTCACAGTTTCCACGCATGTAAATAGTGATACAAAAGCCATTTAAAGATATATATATATATATATATATATAGTTGTGGAAAATTTGTTTTCCAAAATTTGAAATTTTAAGTTAATTTTCTAATACAGACATGCATCACCACTGGCTCATTCTGCTTGCATATTGGATTCCGCTTGATCCAAATAAAACAAAATTTAAACATTTCACAGCTCTTCTTACCCATTTTTCTTTCATAGTTAGTTTTTTTAACTCGAATTTACATGTGGTAAAAATTTTGTTTTTTAACTTGAACTTTATAAGTGATAGAATCTTCATCTTTCCAATGATGAAATCTGGCTCCCTCTACTGATTGTTAGAGAAGACAAATCCAGAACCCACCTGAGGAAAGATGTGCTATTTAATGACTTAATTAAGTCAATACTTGACTTAAGCTGTTGTAAAATTCGGAAACAGAACTACTGTGGACCATCAAATTAATTGCAGACATAGAACTGAAGTATTTTGAAAACATGATCTTAAAATTCTTTTGATATTTTACCAGAATCAAAACGAAAATAGCCAAAGTGCAGGAGAGGTAGATTCTCAGCCTGCAAATCAGTCAGCTACAAGTGATCATTTCTTGAATCAGTTGGGGACTGATTCTTCTAGCCAGCCGGGTAACACCTTGGGTCCTTCTAACTTAGACGATGTCACAAACACGGCTGTTAAGAGAAAATCTTCAGATTCTATATCGGACTCATCTATGGAAGCTCCACAGAAACGTCCCAATCATGTAAGTATGAACTTTTTGTTTTACAGTAAATTTTTATTAGGTGCTTTTGTTTATTTATTTTGTCATTAGAATATAAATAGCTTTTATTTTATTTTTCAGTTTGAGTATACTAATATGATAATACTAAAAGTACAACAGTATGACCCATATACAAAAAAAAAAAAGTTGGACTTTTATTAACTATTTATTTTTGTAAAACAACTAAATAAAGCTATATTTAGCAGCTATAATTCAATTGTCTTGATCTTCTATAAAATTATTTATGATGGTTTACAATGGGTCATCCCTGTAAAGGTCAAGGTGGTTCCATAGGTCAGTAATAATCGTCACAGAGAGGTACAAGCCATTACATTGTATTATTGTAAACAGTGTTAGATTAGTGATCCTAGAATACTGTTAGGACATGTGGGCTGTGCAATAAATTTCTTTTATTACGAAGATTATTTTGTATTGTTAGTTTAGTATGCAACTTTAACCTAAATCAGCCACATTGGCTGAACCTTATGAGATATTATTGGGATTATGGTTAAAAATATTGCTAACAGTTAAGGGTACCCAACAGTTGAATCATCACTGTATTCTAATAATTACAAATAAAAATGGTGTATTAAATTGGCTATAAGAATGACTGGGTTAAACTTGAGGTCTGACCTGTGTAAGTAGTTTGTGTTGATCGTAAATCAGTTATAGGTAAATATTTAATGAGCTTGAACTAGCTTTTTCAATATTTGTTGTTTAAGCTGTACATTTTGGGGGTCAAACACTTTCATTGCCTTTAAAACATTTTAGTGTTACGGTTATAAACATTTAAACCACTTCTTATCCGTAAACAAAAAGTTTTGATGATAATTTTGAATGTTCACATACAAATTGGAATAACAACTAAAGTGTAGAAGGTCGTGTGGTGTTATATTTCTTTTTGATGTTTTTTTTTTTATCTCTAAACTTATTTAACATATAGGTCTTGTCCTTATTGTTTTCTTAATCTGAAAATTACCTCCAGTTAGGAGGTCAGAGTACACATTTTTTCATTCTTTGTTGCAAGACCTGATCATTAAAAAAATTAGCATTCATTTGCCCACTCACTCACTTATATAATATTAAGTTATTAATTTTCTTATATTTTGCTGGCCAAGGTTTTACTCACCTGAGAGAGCTTACGGCTGTGTTCCCTGATAACTGACAACTGTTTTCCTTGAGGGCTTATTGCCAGTCTAGTTTTGCCTATAAGAATGGTTTTTAAGATTCATGTCCTTATAAAGAAAGTTCTTCAAATTGACAAGACACAATACTTAATATTTCACTTTACCCATAGGCTTACTTGGCTGGACAAAATCCAATGCTGGTGTCTATGCTTGCTCAAACTCCAAAAACTGAGCCGTCCATCCCTACCACCATTGCCAGCTCCATTATGTCTCAACTTCCTCAGGATCGACTTCCAAGAGGTCTTGAGAAAAAGCTTCTAAACACATCTGCCAAATCAAACATGCATTCAGTATCTTCAACAGTAGCATCCACAGTGTCTACTTTAGCTGCAACCCAGCAAAGTTGTACAACTTTATCCACAGCTGCTATACGTAACCTTCTTGAACAAGACGTTGTGACGTTTGACTCATGGGGTCAACTAGCCTTCAACCATCATCAACTATCCAGCACAAGTTTCCCTCAACAGCAGCAACAACCTTCACAACAAGAATTACTGCTGAAAATTCTCAACAATCCAGATGCTCCACAGCTTTCCAGATCATTAGGAATCCACGTGACAACAAATAATGGAACTGCATCACCATCCAACATCTTTCCAACTCCTGGGCAAATAAGCATTCCATCATCTTCACATGTGACGCTATCAGAATTATTAGGAGATGTTATTTCATCAGAGCCAACAGGGACAGTAGGAGGCAGTGATCATGTCTCGGACCCACTTTTGTCCCAAATCTTAGAAGAGGTAGGTTTATGGATCCTTTTCTCTTTTTTTTCATGCTTAGGTATTATTAGCAAAGGCACCTTGCATTGTTATGCCCGAACTTACAAAATTTCATCAAAATTGGTTCAGCCAGTCCTTCATGACAGCTATTGACATCAGTCGGACAGATGAACAACTTTATATATAAAGGTAGATAAATCGCAATTAAAATTTAGTATTTTTACTCATTTGTGAAATTGAGCAATCTGTGCTCTATCCACGATGTGTATCAAAACCTGATTTTTAGCATTGTAAGTCTTCAGACTTACTGCTGAGCCACTGGAAAGGGGGCAGGGCTGTTATTGGTAAAAATACCAGTTAATCTTTTGTATAGTTACATGTAGTTAAAGTAGCACGTTAAGTTAGAAAAGGTGAAATGTGTTTTAAGATACATCATAAAATCATTGTATATATACAATATATTGTGTTATATGTTATTTTTCTAAAGCAGTAAAACCTGTATGATTTTTTAAAATGAGCCTTAATTAATTGAAGTAGACAGATGACTTACCTACTTTTCAATCTATCCCAGTAAAAAGGCATCAAAAATAGGAAAATTGCTCTCGGGAAAAGCAGGAGAATGCATAAAATTTAATCCATAACTCAAAAGCTTCTGGGGCCCTAAAGTGGGCCCTGCACCATGGCTATAATGGGTGCACCTGTGGCTCACATTTCCTTTCTTCACTTGATCATATAAACATCGGGGCAACCACTTGTAATTTGCCTCCTACACCTTTGCTATGTACTTTGCAGCTCAGTGGTAAGTGTGGGAGCTTATAATACTAAAAATTATATTTTAGTACCTATTTTGTGGGCAAAGGTAACACATTGTGTAACTTTGTACTTAATAACAAACACACAAGTTTGATAATTTAAAATTACCCATTCTCATTCAAGTCTGATGAAAGACTGTACTCTCGCTAGTACATCTCCAGGTTAGAATAGCTAACATGCACCAGCTAGCCTGTGTTGTCCCGAGTTACAGAAATTTTGTGTTTAAATCTTATTAAGTTTTCCTATATGGCAGGTTTGGAGCCTGGAACAAGAAATGGAGTCTCCATCTGCTGGTGATTCAGTAGTGGTGAAGTTACTCGATGAAGCATTTAGTCAAACATCTGTATCAAGTACAACCACTGCTCAACCAGCACCACAACCAATGATGTCCACTCAAGATCTTCAAGCAAAAATGGCTATCAATGCCATTCAAAAGCAGTTAATGAGCTACGAAACTCCTAGCAGTGGAAGTACCCCAATGTCATCAAGTTCCCGTGTAGTTACTAGTCCAGCATTATATCCTCAGTTAACTACTGCTACATCTCCCAATGCCATGACAACTTTTGTATCATCCCAGTCCTCGTCTCAGCCTCCAACTTACAACAGTGTGGTGGTTAGTCAGAGATCCAGACTGCCCAATCCAGGTGCAATGACCAATGGGCAGCAAGTTTTAGAAATAGTTAATGTTCAGCGGGCAGGTTTGTCTCAGTATCCAGGAGCTGGAGGTATCCCAGCCAATCTTGCACCACAGGTAGGAAACTCTAGTTGTTGCAAACAGTTCTTTCACTATTGGCATTGTAAAATCTTTTGAAAGTGCTCATAAAACTGCACTGACTTCCATTTCTTTATTTTCTGTTATTTTCTTCTTTTTTTTTTGGTTTGTGTGTGTGTGTGTGTGTGTGAAGAGTGTATTTGTATTTGGCAACTGTTTAAAAGCTGGCTATATTTTCTTGGAGTTATACTCTTTGGTTCTGCTTATTTGCTTTGCTGCTGCTGGGTCTTTAAAATGTTGGTTAATCCAAACATTTAATTAGCTTCTCCTTTACTACTAGATTCTACCTTTGATTGCTGCTGAGAAACTGATCTTGACATTATGTTGATAGTATAGTTTGTTTGTTTTTTCATTCTTCTCTCATGGTGTTTAATGAGACTCAACATTGCTAAACGTTTCATGAAAGATTGGTTTGTTCTCTTATGGGAGGCCCTGTCTGCTGTATTGGTTTTTACCACACCCTGCTTCCAATTCATTTATGTAACATGTTTCCTTAGATGTTATGATTTTATATAATCTGTTATTCAACTTTTTCATAAAGAAATTAGAATTGATTCATTATTTTTTCATATTTAGTTTTTTTTTAAACAGCAGATGTCACTTTGGTTCTTCTTGGTCCAGTAGCTATTGTCTTGCTTTTGATTTTTCATTAATATACTCTTTGCTCCCTTTGTTATTTTCTGGAGGCCTAATGTTTTATATGACAGACTGAATCTGAGGGTCCACAGTTCATGTCCTGTTGCCACAAAATTGTGCTCTACAATCTCGCTATGCGATTAGAGTAGCTCAAGAGTTCGTGGTAGGTGTTGTTGACTAGCTGTCTTCCATCTTTTTTTGATCAGTTCAAAAATTAGCGATGCCAATCCAGATAAGCTTTATGTGAATATCCAAAATAAATGTATGCTAAACTCCACATTGTACTTTTTTTACTTGTATATGTCAGCCTACTACTATCACCATAAACTTTATTGTTTTCTGGGTCTACCATTCTTAGCACTTGGCTTGTACCTCGTTCATGGGGCGAGGGTTTTTTTCTGAAACACCTTTATTTTCTTTGTTTCAGTATCACTTGTCAATCTGGTTTCTGTAGAATTATGGTGAACTTTGAAGCCGTGCAAGTCTGAGCATTTGGTGATCATTAATTCTCACTGCCACATTCATAGATAAGCATCTTTACCAGGTTTATTTTTTAGACACACAAAAAAAATGCTTTAATATTTCATTACATATCTAAAACTTGAAACTGGTAAACTTTGGGAAGTTTGAACCCTTTTTTAATGGTGGTTACACAGAGGTTCCATATTCACATGTGGTCATCATCATACTTTTTAAGGCTAAAACAAATTTTTAATGTTTTGTAAGTACTTGCTGATAGTAATGCTCTAGAGGAGAACATATATATTTTCACATCTTCATCTGTGTTTCCCTTCACCTTTTTTTTTTTTTTGTATGCTACAGTTGTACTACCTCTGTGAGATGAGGTGATACTTGATATAAAATAAATATCATTTAACATTGTTTAAATTGTGTAAATTTAGAAAATCTCTGAGAATTGGGTAATTTAGGATATTAAATAATGCTCATTGAATATGATTTAATACACATATGGATTTTCTCCACATTTAAAACTTTGTCGAAAACTTTTCTCTCTCTCTCTCACACACGCGCACACTTCTAACATTTGGTGAATATGTGAAATTTATTATTATTTTGTTTTATTTTTCCAGGTGAGGAGTCGATTATATGAAAGGCGTCAGAAATACCTCCTGCAACAACAGAAGAGACTGTTAGCCCAGCAGCAACAACAACAACTCACCCTTCAAACTCATCAGTCTGTTGATGATCAACTCGCCCTTTCTTCTGCTCCTCGTTTCCCCAAAAATATGAATGATTTGTTAAATAACACTGTTGCTCCTAATGTAACACTACAGGTTAGAAATTCTTTTGTTTTCACAAATTACATCGTTAAAATCAGATACTCTAAACTTGCACTGAATCCATGAAAAGTTTTAGTTTCATTATCACTAATTTGAAATTTATTCTTATTTATCTTTGATGGGTTAAGATCAAATTGTAGTCAATCTCAGAATTGTACCAGTAGAGGGTGTCAGTTTCAATAAAACGGCAGTATATTGAACTCAGAAAATAGCTTCCACGGGTCTGACCAAATCAGCATACAGTGTATCAGCAGTTAAATAAAACATGTAGCTTTTATGGGTCTGACCAAATCAGCATACAGTGTATCAGCAGTTAAATAAAACATGTAGCTTACATGGGTCTGACCAAATCAGCATACAGTGTATCAGCAGTTAAATAAAACATGTAGCTTCCATGGGTCTGACCAAATCAGCATACAGTGTATCAGCAGTTAAACAAAACATGTAGCTTACACGGGTCTGACCAAATCAGCATACAGTGTATCAGCAGTTAAATAAAACATGTAGCTTACACGGGTCTGACCAAATCAGCATACAGTGTATCAGCAGTTAAATAAAACATGTAGCTTACAC